GCCCGAGCCGGGGGACGAGGGAAGAACTTCCTGCGCCTCCCCGCCTCCGCGCGGCCCTCCCCCCCGGGCCCGGGCTCCTCGTTCCTTCCCGAGGGCATCCCCGTCCCCAGAGGGCCGGGCTGCGACCCTCGGCCAGGCTTTCTCTGCCCGAGGAAGAAGGGAAGCCGGAACGCAGGAAGGTCTTTGCCTCCAGCTTCCAGCCCTCTGAAGCAGGGAGTGGAAAAAAGTAAAAGTAAAGACAAATGGCCGGGATAAGAACACCATTTATTCCTTTAACAAACACTGTAGGGACAGAATGCCTCCTGGGTCGGGCACTGTTCTAAGGCTGCAGACATGAAACCAGGCAAAAGTCTCTGCCCTCGTGAAGCCTGCCTCAAATTAGTTGTCAAGCAAGTGCCAGGGCAGGCAAAGCACAAAGAGCGCCCACCTTCTGTGAAAGAGCCGAGGCGAACGACAGGACCAGGTAAGGCCGGGGGAAGGATGGAGCCCCAGGGGGCGAGCTGAAATACGGGCGGACTTTCAGGGCTCCTGCCTAGGGAGCCAGCTGCCCTTCCCGGCCCGGCTAGGCCCTCGGTGAGTACGGAGGGGAGCCGCCCTGGGAAAGGTCCAGGGACGCCCCCACCGTGGACCCAGCTAGGGGCGGAGCCTTCCCGCTGAACGTGGCAAGCCCCCTTCCTCTGCTCAGATGCCCACGGAGCCCAGCCAACTTGACCTCTCTGCTTGTAACATCTTATTTCTCTTCTCTTTTTTCCCCTCTTAAAATTCAACGAGGCTCAACTCCCCTTTGAGGCCTTTGCTCACCGCTCCCATGGGTTCATTCTTGCTGCTTCACTTCTGTCTTCAGAGGGCAGGATGTTAAGGCCGATAAGGAAAGCCCAGTCTCTGACCATGAAGACGCCGCAGTTTAGCAGACACAGGCCTTGGTAGTGTCTTCACTTGAGCAGCCCCTCAAGGCCACTGTGAATCCATATTTGCGCAGTAAATATGTTCTAAACGTGGTCTGTAGATCTGGGGGAGAGTTCCCAGTTTTAATAGCTTAAGGAGACTCGTTATGTAAAAGACATGCTTTATGAACACACTCTAATCTATTTGTCTTGAAACCAATCGCTTCCCGGTTTTGCGAATTCTGTACTTTTAATTTCCTAATCAGGATTTTTCTAAATGACGCTGTTATATGTCTATATCGTTGAGTTTGATGACCACCCACATAGAGTGTGTGTGTGTATGTGTGTGCAGATGTAATCCATTTGCTCTCACGAGATTATAAGGGTGATGACTACCCTTTCTTCTGTATCGTTTCATATTGGCTAGAAGAGTGCCTGGCCCAGGGAGCTCATAAAGAAACACTCCTGACTGACTGACAGGTTTCTTGATTGGAGTCACTTACATTCGCCCTGGAATTTCAGCATGGAGGTTGTATTTGAAAAGTTACACACGATCTAGAATAATCCTCCACCTCTGCGTTTTACCTCATCCATGGTCTACAGATTGCTTTGGCACTGGCCTTATAAATAAAGCCAGCCGGGGTGCCCCTGCAGGACTCTAGACCAAATCCGCCCACATCTCCATTGCCTGGATTCCCTTCCGTGTCCTTGCACTAGTGTCTCTTGAATTGCCCTTGGCCTTGGCAAGGTTGATTGTTTTAACACTGTATCATCCTCTGCTCCATTCTGCTTATAAACCCTTCCTAGGAAAGTGGGATCCTTGCATGGAAAGTAAATTTTATATAACCCGGAGTCTGCACAGTTACTAAACAATAGATTCTGAATGAATATGGCTTTGTTTTGGCCTAAAGCATTTTCCTTGAGGAAAGGCATCTGTTCCGCCCACCAGGAGAAAATAATTGGGAACATTCTTTGTGGTTTTCGTGTTTTCTTAAACCTTCGGCAGGCATGCCCACTCCGGCTGAATATATGTAGAGTGCCACCTACAAATTCCTGATGAGGAACATGCCGGAAGGTACTCGGTTATTAGCAATGATCATTTTGGGGGGGGAGGGAGGCTGGGTGTCGCTATTAACTTTTTTTTTTTTTGGAATGAGATGATTTAAAGGCAACTATCCATTCAGCTAATCACTTAACACTCAGGAGGGCAGGAACCATGGGGCTGTATATTTTGCCCAGAAAATCAAATATTACAAGTTTTCTTGCTCTTCTTCTGATTCAGTCCTGACACACACGTGCGCGCGTGCGCACACACACACACACACGGACACGTGCAAAACGATTTTGACTTTTCCCAGAACTTTTCAGTATTTTAGTGGCAGATGAGTGAGTAGGAGTTTCTGAAGTTCAGAGCACTATGAACTGGTGTCCACTACTTTCTAGAATGACTAACTAGAAACCTAAGTGTCCGCTACTTTCTAGAATGACTAACTAGAAACCTAAGTGTCCGCTACTTTCTAGAATGACTAACTAGAAACCTAAGTGTCCGCTACTTTCTAGAATGACTAGCAATACTTCCTTTTTCTTTTTTTTAATAAATTTATTTATTTATTTTTGGCCACATTGGGTTTTCGTTGCTGCACGCGGGCTTCTTATTGCAGAGGCTGCTCTTGTTGCGGAGCATGGGCTCTAGGTGCACGGGCTTCAGTAGCTGTGGCTCGCGGGCTCAGTAGTTGTGGCGCGTGGGCTTAGTTGCTCCGTGGCATGTGGGATCTTCCCGGACCAGGGCTCGAACCCGTGTTCCCTGCATTGGCAGGTGGATTCTTAACCACTGCGCCACCAGGGAAGCCCAGCAACACTTCTATACACATTTAAATGAGACCGGGAGCTGGGGGTGTCGTGAGTAAGCAAAGTGAATGCCCGCAGAAACAAAGAGCGCAACCTTGGTCTAGAATCCTTTCTGCCCCTTTTCCTTACAGGAGACGTTTACACTGGAGTCTGTCTCCTGTGTAAATGGAGAATTTAGAATTCTTAGAATTCTTCCATTCTCTAAGCTAAGACAGGTAGTGATGCCAGTTCTTTGTCAACTTAATTGTGCTTCTGTGATGATACAGGACTAGGACCAGTTTCCTAGCCTCAACTCAGAGGTGCCTGGAGGCTGGCAAGAGAGGATGAGTAGGTGCTTCTCCCCAAGTCCATCCAGTCATGGTAGTTCTTTCACCTGTTACGATCCTGGTTGGGAAAGAGAAATTCTACTGAAAACCAAAAAGAAGGGGAGAAAAAAGAGTTTGGAAACCACTGACTAAGGCAAGTGTCAGGAATTGTATTGAATTCAGGAAAACAATAAGTTACGTGTGGGTAGCCACCTTTTCATGTTTAATCTGTTTGGTATCATCAAAAGATGCCAAGTGTGGTTCCCAGGTAAAGAGAAATAGTACAGTACATAAGTGAGCTGTAAATCGTAAGGAAATTCTGTCGTCATTAGCCAAGCACGGACATCCGATGTGCTATTCCACAGGGTCCCACAGGTGGCATCCGGAACAATCCTGAGATCGGGGCGCCCCCTGAAAATTCGGACAACCACCAAACACTGTGTTTGATCATATCCCGTGGTCAATAAATGTCCTTTTTCTCTCCCCCGAAATCATGTGTAGGCTATGAAGGCTTCTGTCCACGTGGTGACAAATCGTAGCAAAGAACTCAAGACACGGCCACGGATCTTCCTTTCTCAGACAGTGAGCCCCTTCTTTCAGAGGTCATGAGAGA